CGTCTCTGAATTGTTCGTTCCGTTCAAATTCAATGTTCAAAACATGTTTTCGTTGTTTGTTGTTTTGTGATTTTCTATATATACATATATAAGCTTGTGTGTATAATTTTTGATTTGGTGTGCGTACGTGTATTTGTGCGCGCGCCTTTGTGTGAGTGTCAGTGAATATGGGATTTTCTTTGTATGTGATAGCATACACAAATGTTCTGTCCAACCCACCTTTGCGACCCGACTCCTTTCCTAGGCATAAAGCCGTCCTGGCTCTGGCCATCCCCAACGTCTGAGTCAGCTTCTAGCTGCAATGACAGGGCCATATTGCGCTTACGCAGCTCCTCCTCGGTCTCGTCGAAGCTCGCCGAGTATCGGATATAGTCCTCCAATCTATTAATAGACGTTCCATTCGGTGTAAGTCAGTAGGTAGAGAGAGCACAGATGTATTCTAGTGTGTCGTGAGGTTTGCACAGCTTTGGCAACGCTACTCTCACCGTCGATCAGTGCGGTATAGCTTGACGGTTCCTCTCATACTGTGTTATGGTTGTGGTTGTGGTTGTGGTTGTGGTGTGTCTGGTTGGGGTGGTGTGTTATCTGATTGCCTCATACTTCTATTGACTCTAAGGGCGCTGGCCTATCCGGCGGTATTGTAACCGTCGCAACTAATGGCACGCTACCCACTAGTACTAACACAACAACAACACAGTCTAAACAGTATCACATGCACATACACACTCAGCCTTAAAAAAACCCCTAAAACCCACCATCACATACACATACACATACACATACACACGAAGCAGCGCTACTGAACGGATCGCTCTAACCAAGTTGTGCACTCACTTTATACGCACTTCATAGACGACATCGCTTTGTACGTGCAGTGTGTGGCATTACATACCACCACACGACACAGAACAGACACAAACACGCAATAAGTTTATGACTTCGGACAAAGACCAATGGTCTACAATCAACCAATGGAGACTTTGCGCAGACTAATCAGAAGTGTGTGCGAGAACTGCACACCACACGTTATCATGGCAAGGGTTGTCATGACTCACCTTTTGAAGGAGAGCAGATTTGTGTACTTGACATTTTGAAACCGCAAAATCTCGTTAGTGATTTCCGCTATTTGCTGTGAATGATCGAATTGGGCGTAACCAATCGTAGGGTTACTATAAATGCGACAGAGCTTACACTGAAGTCTGGTCTGGGTTTTAGGGATATAGGGGTTTAGGGTTTAAACCCACCAATCATATCATACTGCAACACATATCAAGCAAACACCCTGACGATGAGCGTAGCAGATACCACACAAGTCAATAAGACCAAGCAACCGACCTTACATGCCCAACAAACTCTACTTTGGCAATCTTAGACTCACAAGTAGAACAAACGGCAGTGAATGTGCATAGGTTGAAGGATCATGAGGTGGTAGTATCCGTCAATAATATCAGAAGATGTATTTTTTGGGGTGCTCTTGTAACCGTTCATAGCGAGTATGGAAGCAACACAACACAGCCCACCCATAACTACACGAGCACTAGGCAGATATCTGCACAACACTTATGCACTTCAAAGTAAAATCACTGTGCCAGACAATAACAAGTAAAATCTATAACTATATCTATATCTATATCTATATCTATAAACATTTATGTCAGTACCTATATCTATAAATATATCTATATCTATATCTATGTCTATATATA